CACTACAGCCTGGGCAACAGAGCGAGACTCCATCTCAAAAAAAAAAAAAAAAAAAAAAAGAGGTACATGAGCAACTGGTGGCAATCACCCCAGGTGGGGTTGTGGGTCTGGATAATAGTTTAGAGCAAATCAAGTAGAGCTTGAGGCTTTTCGGTATAGGATGGGGCATTGTTTTTCCTATTGAGGAGATCGGTAGAGGTGAAGAGCTGGTACACAAAGGCACGCCTTTCCACCATATGCCCGTCCTTGTCTACCCCAGTATACCATTGCTCTCTCAGGGGCATCTGTATCCCAGTTCTAGGCCTCAAACAGGCTGCCAAGGGAGGCATTTCTCCCGAGAGCTCGCATCCTTTCTTTTCCACTCTGGATGGCCTAGGGGTATATAGGCCTTGTGGAAGTTCGGGCACAGTGGGCTCAGGAGTGGAAGGCCTTCCTTCTTGGTAAAAGGGGGAGGCCACTGGTGCCGTTTCTTGCCGTGAATCCTCTGATGTTGGGTTGGACAGGACTTTAGGAGCCGATTCCCCTGGGCGCGTGGAGTGGGATTCTTCCTTGGCTGTCTGTCCCTTTGCCACTAGTACTACTACTGCCTGTCCTCTTCACCACTGTGGGAGGTCTAAAACCAGCTGTAACCAAGTGTCTATGTATGGAAACTGGTCTAGTTACCTTTTTACCAGTTACCTTGTGCCACACCACTGAAACAAGGGACCTGTCTAGGCTTCCTTCTGATGGCCAACCCACTTCTAATGCCTGCCAGTCTATCTCACACAAAGTTCTAAGTTTTCCCGGTGTCACAGTTAACTCCATAGTCTCCACTAAATCCTTCCTTGAAATTTTTCAACGTAGTTCCTAGTGGAGTGGGCTTACTTTGCGTTCCACCCATCTTCCTCCCAAGACAAGACAACACTCACACCACAAGAAGGAAAGGGTAAAGGGGTCACTCCAGTCTCGCCCGTCTCAAACTCAAGCACTCACTTTCACTTTCCTTTTTGCAAACAAGTCAAGCCAAATCAAAATCAATGCTAAGACCAAAGTGCCGACAAGGGCACACCGTGGGTGATCAGGCCACGCTTCCACTCAAATGGAGTGGGGAAATTCCCAGGACCGGTCCTACTGTATTCCAGTTGTCCAGATTCCAAGTGCCAGCTCCTTCCTGGTGTTCAGCCACTGCATTGATCCTCCGCGGGGGCCTGCTGTGCACCGCTCTGACAAGGCGTTCCACTGGGGCAAATGCTTACCGGGGAGCGCTCTCAGGATCCATGTAGCCCAAGCTGGCCAGAGCCCCCCACAGGGATACTTTGCAGGGCAGGCCTAAGCTGCCTAAGGGACTGCCTCAACTTTCTGTCAATTACCTCATTTCCCAGTCAGGGAACCAAGAAATGTAGCAAGACGAGCCACGGACAAAACCCCTCAGACACCAGGTTAAGGAAGGATTTGGCTTTATTTGGCCAGGAGCTTTGGCAGACTCATGTCTCAAGAACCGAGCTCCCCAAAGAGAGAGTTCCTGGCCCTTTTAAGGGTTTACAACTCTAAGAGGTTCCACGTGAAAGGGTCGTGATAGATTGAGGGCACATGTGGTGAGAGTAGGGGGTTAATCTTTTAACCTCAGGCCTGGTCATCAGTGACACTGGCTGGTCTTGCCACTGACTTCATTCTTGTTGTTTTTCAACTTTTACTTCCTCCCTCTCTTCAGAGACGGGAGACAGTAAGAGAAATGGCCTCTCTCCTCACCCACCTCCTAGGGCTGCTGAGAGGGTTAAATGAGAGGACACATGCAAAACTCTTGGCACAGTGATTGATGTACTCTGCTTTTCTTACTTGGGCCCTGACATCTTGAGATCCTAGACCCCCTTCCTGGGCAGAGCATGGGTGTTTTAGAGTGGTTGATGTTGGCAGGGCAATACATCTTTTTTTTTTTTTTTTTTTTTTTTTTTTTTTTTTTTTTGAGATGGAATCTCACTCTGTCACCCAGGCTGGAGTGCAGTGGCACGATCTCAGCTCACTGCAAGCTCTACCTCCTGGGTTCACGCCATTCTCCTACCTCAGCCTCCCAAGTAGCTGGGACTACAGGCAGCCACCACTACGACCAACTAATTTTTTTTTTTGTATTTTGTTTAGTAGAGACGGGGTTTCACTGTATTAGCCAGGATGGTCTCGATCTCCTGACCTGGTGATCCGCCCGCCTCGGCCTCCCAAAGTGCTGGGATTACAGGCGTGAGCCACTGTGCCTGGCCCAATATGTCTTCAAAAAAAAAAAAAAAAAAAAACTGCACCCCTGTCTCCTGTTGCTAGGAGCCTTGGTGTTTTTCTCCAGAACTTTCCTTGTTGTCACAGTTGGTAGCATCAGCTGCTTGTTAGAAAGTCACAACTGGGGAAGCCAACAGCTAGTGTTACCATGCCAACCTCTGGAGGAACGGCTGCCTCTCTGCATTCATAGTCAGGGCTGGGCTGAGGAAGTGTCGGCTCCTAGGCCCAGCTGGGGGCAGGGTCAGTCAAGGCCCCAGGTGCCTGGCTGTGGCTTAGGGACAGCAAGGGTCCACAGACCCTTCCCTTCTGCATCCTCTCCTCCTCCTCCTCCCACCCGCTCCCTTTCCCCCTCACACTCACAGGCAGGGAGCCAGATTTTCTTGCTAAATAGCAGCTTTGCTTCTGCCAATTTTCTGTTTGGGGAAGAATGTCACAGGCAGTCCACTTCCATTAGCAACAACTTCTTCTACCTGCCGCCATCTGCCACCCCCACCTGAGGGTCTTTTGCCCAGGGCATCAGTCACCTGCTCTAGACAATTTCCCTTCTTCATGCCAGGCCTTGTGCTAGGGGCATCCTCATCCCTGACCTCATGTCATCCTCAAACCCTATGGGGTGTGCTTCATTATCAACCACATTTTACAGAAGGGGAAACTGAGGCTGGGAGGGGTGAAGCGACTTGCCACATCTACCCTCCCCCCACAAGGGACAGGGCCAGGGTGCCACCCAGTCTGTGCTGTTTGCTTTAAGGGCAGCACTTCTTGAGAGGCGGTGATGACAACAATGAGAGGATGGTGGCGGCCACACTGATGGCTTCCTGTGCTCTCCTGGGCACTGTGGGCCTGGGGCAGGCCCTCAACAGAATTCCACTCTGGGTCCAGGGCAGAGGGGCGGCAGGGGTGGGAGGGGTGGAGCGGAGCGCCGGTTGTGACCCGTGATGTCCACTAGGTGTCGCCCACGTTCTGGAAAACCTGTCAGCGACGCCCCACAGGTCCGAGGAAAGGGGAAAGGGGCCTGGAGGGGCATGGGTCTCCCGAGGGGGTAGGCGGACCTAGGTCTGGGCAGAGATAGCAGCCCCAGGACAGAGAGGAGCACGGACAGACCCCTCCTTACGCTTTAGCGTGGAAGACTTCAGTCCCCGGATGGAGTCTTCATTGGTCCCCAGGGGAAGAGATCCCCAGGCAGTAGAAGAAGGGGCCTCTCCTCACAAAATGTGACCCCCTGCTACTCCTCTCCACGCCAGGGAGACCCCAGCTGCACCATCCCAGCTGCACCCATCCCCTTTTGGCACCTTTGGGACTGCCACACAGACCTGGGTTCTCCCACCCGTGTGCTCCCGGTCACACCACTCAGGACCACGTGTCAAGGTTCGGAGCTCAGCGTCTGCCTCCCACTTGGGCTGCAGACTCCCCGAGGGGGCAGGGGCTGGAAGCCCAGCACCACAGCTGGCACCCAGGGCACTCTCATGCAGGGCCGCTGAGTGAACGAATCCGCGGGTGAGCTTGTCCAGGGATTTTCAAACTTAAAATATTGAGCTGAGGAATCCCTCTTCTTGCAGGGTCGTGTGTGAAAGCTTCCCCATATAACACAGGGGTACCCACTGATGTCCCCAGCTGATGTCCCCGGGGAAGCCCACGGCTTTAGAGAGCATGAGAAACAGCCGCCGTGGTCGCTGCGGGGGAGGCAACCGATGCCCATACAGGAAGGAGCCTGAGCCGGGAAGGGACCAGGACCCAGCTGCCCTGCGGGACCCTCATGGTCCCACTGTCACTCCCTTTCACTGTGAAGAAATATCCAGCCTCCATACTAATGATCTTGACGATAATAATCTCCTGCCCGCTTTCCCCTCCCCACCCCACTCAGCTCACAAGCCCTTTCTTCCCCGCTGTCTCAGTGGCTGTCACAACAAGCCTGGGACTCTTCACTGCAGAAATGTAGTCCCATTTCACAGATGGGCCCACCAAGGCTGGACAGATGTCAGGGGCAGAGCTGGAAGGAGAACCGGATGGGCCAGCATCAGGACCTTGGTCTCTCCTACCACTGCCCCAGGTGCCCAAATCATCATTCAGGAGCTGCAAGGAGCAGGGGTTAAAAGTCAGAGGCAGCCAGGAGTGGTGGCTCACACCTGTAATTCCAGCACTTTGGGAGGCTGAGGCGGGCGGATCACTTGAGGTCAGGAGTTCGACACCACCCTGGCCAACATGGTGAAACGCTGTCTCTAATAAAAATACAAAAACTAGCTGGGCGTGGTGGCGCACGCCTGTAATCCCAGCTACTCGGGAGACTGAGGCAGGAGAATCGCTTGAATCCAGGAGGTGGAGGTTGCAGTGAGCCGAGATCGCGCCACTGCACTCCAGCCTGGACAATATGGTGAGACTCTGTCTGAAAAAAAAAAAAAAGTCCAACACATAGGACTCAGAGCCCAGAGCCCAGCCCCATCACTTGTGACCTGTGTGACTTGAACTCTCTGGGCCTCAGTTATTCAACAGAAATGGGTGGAGAGAGTATTGCAGAGATCTGTGCCTGAAAAGTTCTTAGCCCTGTCATTATCATCATACCACGGTCATCGTCCCACTGCTGGACCATGGGGCCTAGGGTCCATGGCCTGGGCACCACTTCTCACCCCCAGGCTGGGGGCAGGAGGGAGATGGTGTCATTCCAGCTACTGGGCATGGGAACCCACCTTTCCCAGAGCTGGAGAAGCAGGGGGAGTCACCGTGCCCTCCCTTGACGCCTGGCCAAGGAGGGCCCAGCCATGGGGAGTTGAGGTAGGAGGTCTTTATTCATTTGAGCAGGGGAAGCCAAGTCCTGTGGAGATTCTCTGGGACCTGCAGCATCCCAAGCACCTGGGGTGAGTGAGGGCGGGCAGGACCCCTGGGCAGCAGAATCCCATCGCCAGATCCTGGCCTAGACTTTCCGTGGGACACGGGAGGGTGTGTGTGCGGGGGGGAGGGGTACAGCTGGGAACCCGCATTCCTCCCAGCCAGAGGACCATGGCCAGCAGGAGGCAGCGGTGTGGCGTGGGGGGTGGGGGACGTGGGCCCCTCCCACACTGACTGTGGCATTGGGTGGCAGTGTCCTTGTCTCCAAGACTGGGGCTCTGGAAACCGCCTCTGGTGAGGCTTCCTGTCCTCTTTTTCATACGTGCCCCTTCTGCCTCCTTCTCCACCCTTCCTGGCTCTCCCTCCCCAGTGACAATGGTACCCCAGGGACACTCCCAGGCAAACTTGCTGGCGGCTGTTGAGTCCAGGCGGAGGATGGCCTCAGTGGTCCTTAGGCAGGTGGGGCTGGCTCCATGGAGGCCGCTGACCCTGAGTTGAGGTTCGGGCAGGTAAGGAGGAGGTTATGGTGCACCTGGAGAAACAACAGTGCTGGGGGCCGCAAGGCCGTCCCCTCTACTTCAGCCCCAGCTGCACGCCCCACACAGGAACCCAGCGTCATAAGGCCCTGCCCCCCAGCTCCTCTGTGCTGCCTGGAGGCCCCTCCCTGCTGGCGGCTGTCACTCACCTTGTCTCTCCATGCTCCCATCTTCTCCCCTCTCCTTCACCATCCTGTTCCTTACTGCCTTCTAGAAGCTTCCACGTAGCGTCCTACCTTGACCCTCTTCTAGAAATTTCCAGGCAGCCTCCCGCCTTGATGCTCTCCCTGCTTACGTTTTCCTCTTCACTGAGGTGGGTCTCAGCCCTCAGCCTCTTCCCCACCAATGGGACTTGTGACGCCTGCCCACAGCCCAGGGAGAGAGGGTGTGGGTCCCCCTCCATTGTTTTGGCTGCTGTTCCAGGTGCAGGCCAGGAGGGCAGTGTCTGTCAGGGACCCAGAGGGCGGGGGTAGAGGCGCTCCTCAGACCCACGTGGTGTGGCAGGGCAGGGTTGGGTGACATGCATGGGTCGATGGGGGGCACAGAGAAGACTTGCAGGTTTTGGAGGCCACATTTTCGTGTGTCCCCATATTAGCCTGTAAGGTGTACCTGGGTGTGTGACTCTGTCAGTGCCCAGGAGCCTGCTCAGAGGCTGGACTTCGGGGCTGGGACGCTCAGCACTGCACATCCCCTAGGGTCTGAACTGGACTCATGGCCACCTCAGTGAGGGCTGGGGTGGGGCACCTGCTCTGTGAGTGGGGCTCTAGAGAGCCTCAAGCCCAAAGTAGCCACCACCCCGGGCCATCCTGTGGGATCAGCTGAGGGGCTCCTGGAAGCCAGGTTTCGTGACCAGCAATCTGCCTTCCTGTGATCTTGGGCCGAGGATGCACCCATCTCTGGACCTGGGCTGGCAGCTCAGACTCTCGAAGGCTCCGGGGAGTCAAGCTGGCTCCAGCAACAGAGGCCCCACTCAGAGGCCCCTCCTCCTCTCTCTCGGGTCTTCCCAGCCACCCTCAGGAGAGACTCCTACAAGCTCCATGCCTCCCACCCAGTCCAGAACCAGCGGCAGGATGCACCCATGCTTGGGGCTGGGTTGGGCTGGGGGAGTCAAGACCCAGGCCTTCCTGAGTCCTCTGGGGGCTGAGCCCTGGCTGGAGAGCTCCAGGGGGAGGCAGCCAGCAACCTTTGGGCTCCCAGCCTGGCTCCTACCCTCCCTGCTCCTCATCTGGTCCCCTCCGCCCGCTCTTCTCTCTCAGACCTCAGAGGCTCTAGGGAGGGGTGGGGGGCGCCGGGGATTGGTGACTCTAGGTGACCTCCTCAGGGGGTGGTTCATAGATGCTGCAGCTGGGCGTGGGGCCCTGGCAGTAGACATTGAGGAAGCCGCGGTACTCCTCTCGGTACGTCTGGTTCATGAGGCACAGAACCACATTCTTGTCACACACGCATGTCTGCTTGTCACACTCTGTCTTGTTGAGGTCACCTGTAGGGGGATGGGGGCGGCAAAGGCTGTGGATGGAAGGGGCAGTGGCTCCCCCAGGACCACTGCTGGGGAGGGGGAGCACACAGACTTGGAGAACCCAGTGGTCCTTGGAATGTGTTCCCTGGGTGGCAGGACCAGCACCACTCACGGGCCCCACCCTCCACCTGCAAGGTCAGCAGCTCTGGGCTGGGGCCCAGCAGTCTGTGTTGTAACAAGCTCTCTAGGTGACTCTGGTGCATAGTAAAATTAGGGAAGCACTGAAGCCCAACACAGTTATTGCATAACTGGGGAAACTGAGCCCCAGAAAGGGGGATGGGTTTACCTAAGTCACCCACAGAACTAAAGCACCTCCCACACCCCCAGGCCCGTTACTTCCTGCCATCCCAGACCTCTTCCCTTCAATCACAGATTCAAAGAAAGCCCACTGAAGAGGGAGTTATTGCCGGGCATACTGGCTCACGCCCATAATCCCAGCACTTTGGGAAGCCCAGGCAGGCGGATCGCCTGAGGTCAGGAGTTCGAGACCAGCCTGGCCAACATGGTGAAACCCCATCTCTACTAAAAATAGAAAAATTAGCCAGGCATGGTGGTGGACGCCTGTAATCCCAGCTGAGGGAGACTGAGGCAGGAGAATCGCTTGAACCCTGGAGGCCGAGGTTGCAGTAAGCCGAGATTATGCCACTGCACTCCAGCCTGGGCAACAAGAGCCAAACTTTGTCTTAAAAAAAGAAAAGATGGAGTTATTGGTAAGAAATGAGTGGGGAAAACACTTGTCAAAAGCTTAGTCAATGCCTAAGAGCCTAGCACATGCCTAATCCAGGGCAGATGCTACTGTTGTTTGTCCCTGTGCTGTTGTTACAATTAGTAGATTTCAGGAAACACCCTCAGGTGCACAATAGAATCAGCTGGAGGGTTTGCTCCAACTAAGAGTGCTGGACCTCACCCCTAAATGTCAGATTCAGTAGGTCTGGGTGGGGCCTGATAATTGGCATTTCTAACAATTTCCTGGGTGCTGCAGCTGCTGCTGTTGCTGGTTCAGGGACGACCCTTTGAGAACCTCCAATTAGCTTGATCAGTCTGCAAACTTTTCATACTTTCTACCAACAAAATCCTGTCTCTTAAATGAAACTGTGTAAAGAAGGCTGGTGCATCAGACAGCCCCAGAAGAAGTTGCTTAATGATAAAATACACTAAAGTACCAGCTGAACCTCTCAGGAACTGTGTGGCTATCACCTCTCAAGGCCTCTGGCTCCAATGGTCCCAGGGATCCCCCAAACCCAGCATGAAAGTCACTGCTTTAGGTTAGTCCATTACCCCTGGTGGGTGGTGGTGGGGGGAGAATCTGTCTCCTCCAGCTGCTTTAATAGGGGGGCATCTGCTGTCTCAGGCCAGCCCCTCCACCTCATGTTTGAACAGCAGAACATGAGGACCACAGAGATCTGGGCTCCCAAGGGGTCCCAAATTGCACCCCAGTCTCCACTAGACTCCTTCCCAGATGACAGGAGATGTGAGTGTCTTTGCAAAGCCAGCATTGCTTGTGAGCTATTAATAAGCAACAACTGGTAGTACCAGGTGAAGACATGGGGGCAAAGAAGGCCCAGTGGCTGCTCACAGGCTGGGCCAGGGGGGAGTCCTGCCTCAGAGAGGGGCACAGAGTGGAGCAGGGCAGGGAAAACTGGGCACTGCTACCTGGATGCCACTTGCGCTTACCTACATGTCTCAGTTGGGAAATAGCCACAGCAAGTTCATGGTAAATGAGGGAACACACCAGGCCAGGTGCTAATACCTTGGATCCCTAGAAACACTAGGCGTCCTGGGATGGAGCCACCTCTGCTGGTGGGGTCTGAGTGACAGAACCAGAAGAGAAAGAGTCCGCTCTGATCCAAACCTCTCAATGGACCCATGAGTGAGGAAACTGAGACCAGGTGGGGAAGGACCTGCCCAGGGCTACACGGAGCGAGGAGATGGCGACAGAACCAGAGTTCAAACCCAGGTCCCCCGACTCCCAGGCCAGCATGGCCTCAGAGCTTCCCTGCAGAGCTGCAGCCTCAGAACCATCTGGGGAGCTGGCTGAAAGCCAGATTCCGGGGCCCCACCCATACCCACTGAATCAGAATCACTCAGAATTTGGGAGACAGGAGAACTGGGATGCCAATTCCAGGACTGGAGCCTCAGAGCACCTCAGGGAGATGTTCTCGAGCCACAGCTAGGCTGGTCAGTTTTAGATTTAGCAAAAAAAGCAAAACCAAAATCAAAACACAGGATGCCTGGTTAAATTTCAATTTCAGGCTGGGCTGGCTGGTGGCTCATACCCATAATCCCAGCGGACTCTTTGGGAGGCAGAGGTGGGAGGATTGCTGGAGGCCAGGAGTTCAAGACCAGCCTGGGCAACATAGTGAGACCCCATCTCCGCAAAAAACACAAAAATCAACTGTGCGTGGTGGCACTTGCCTGTAATCCCAGCTACTCGGGAGACTGAGACAGGAGGATCACTTTAGCCCTGGAGGTCAAGGCTGCAGTGAGCTACAATGGCACCACTGTACTCCAGCCTGGGCAACAGAGCAAGACCCTGTTTTAATTAATTAATTAATTAAAATTTCAGGTAAATAGTACATGTTTGGCTGGACGCGGTGGCTCACACCTGTAATCCCAGTACTTTGGGAAGCCGAGGCAGGTGGATCACAAAGTCAAGAAATCAAGACCATCCTAGCCAACATGGTGAAACCCTGTCTCTCCTAAAAGTACAAAAATTAGCTGGGCATGGTGGCGTGCACCTGTAGTCCCAGCTACTTGGGAGGGTGAGGCAGGAGAATCACTTGAACCTCGGAGGCAGAGGTTGTGGTGAGCTGAGATCGCGCCACTGCACTCTAGCCTGGTGACATAGCGAGACCCCTACTAAAAAAAAAAAAAAAAAAAAAAAAGTACATGTGTTAGTAGAAGTATGTCCTAAACATTTCATTTTCTATAAATATTAATTAATTTTATACTAGCATTTAGTTTTGAGTATCAATATGTCCCATGCAATATTTAGGACGTATTTAATATTAAAACATTTTTATTGTATATCTAAGAAATGAGTTTCACTAGGCAGCCTGTATTTCTTTCTTTTTTCTTTTTTTTGAGGCAGAGTCTCACTCTGTTGCCCAGGCGGGAGTGCAGTAGTGTGCGATCTTGGCTCACTGCAACCTCTGCCTCCCAGGTTCGAAGTGATTCTCATGTCTCAGCCTCTCCAGCAGCTGTGATTACAGGTGTGCGCCACCACGCCCGGCTAATTTTTGTGTTTTCAGTAGAGACGGGTTTTCATCATGTTAGCCAGGCTGGTCTCGAATTCCTGACCTCAAGTGATCCACTCACCTCGGCCTCCCAGAGTGCTGGAATTACAGGCGTGAGTCTCTGCACCCAGCTGGCAGCCTTTATTTAATCTGGCAAGCCTGTCCACCATCCCAGCACAGCATGGTGGAACCAGCCACTCCCTTCTCCAGGGGCCCAGGTGACAGGGGAGGAACTCACTGCAGACTATCTCAGTGTTGTTCTCGATGGTGTGATCATAGTGGTCCACATAGGGGTGACAGCCCTGGTCAAAGAGTTTCTGGTAGCAGCAGTCGTGGGCGTGGCAGCACCTAGGGAGCGGCAGAGGTGAGTGGACAGGCATGGCCGGGCTGGCCCATCTCCCACCAGCAGAAACCTCTGATCATCTCTTCCAGTCTCTCACAGGTCAAATGTTCTAACTGAAGCCCAGAGAGGGACAGTTACTTGTCTGAGGTCACACAGCCAAGCAGAGCTGGGGCCGGTACCCCAGGTTCCGATCCTCACAGCTTCAGCTTTGTGGCACCTGCCAGGCCTGCCTACCCCAGGACACATTCTCCCCTGTGTCTTTGTTCTATCCACAGGGCTCCCAGCTTTCCCGCAGAGCCCTGGCTGCAGCTGTAGGAGGGGTCAGGGGCTGCCTGGGTTTACGTCAAGGTTGGAGGAGCATCGACTGTAGGCAGAGGCTACCCCTGGCAGTGCCTCATGGCCAGGGAGGGACAAAGGTCTGGAGTTGTCAACAGGGACTAGTAGGATGGGGGACAAGAAGCACGGGCAGTGTGGCTGTCCCTCACCTCTAGGGGAGTGAAGTCAGCTAGTCAACATGCATTTATTAAGCTTTGTGTGATACAAACTTGGTGCTGGCTGCTGTTGGGCAGATAGGAAGAGAAGACAAGCCATGGCTGCTGGGAGCTCCCAGACTGATGGAGGAGGCACGGTCCTGTCTTCCAGAGCCTCCAGCCTGAGGCAGGCAGGGGTCACAGTCCTTGCCTTTGTGGGGTGTCAGCTGTATGACTGCTCTACCATAGTCAAAAGTCCCTTCCTAGAGAGAGGAGGGGCTGAAACACTTCCAAGCCCGTGACCTTGGAGATGGACAACAGAAAGCGCCCAAGACAGTTTGGAAAGAACATAGTCAAAGACCAGGCTCCGGTCCCCAACTCATCAAAGAAGCCGGATCCCTTGGGGAAAGAAGGTCTCCCCCTCTCAGGGATAGAGGGCAAGTTCAGTCTGACCTTCAGCTGTCCTCATTTGGCCCCTGACAGGAGCCCAGGTCTGGTACCTACCAGTCCACCTCATCCTTGGGCTGGCCACGGCCCCCCAGCCCACAGTAGCAACCGTAACCCACGAAGGACAGGATGGCGTTCCTCCCTGTGACGGCCTCCACCATGGCCCTCAGGTTGAGCAGGCTGCTGTGGGCTGTGGACAGAACTGCAAGAGAACCAGGGGGGTGCTCTGAGCCTCTGCCCCGTGGCTGGCTGCTCCCATCCTCTCTCATCCTGAGAGTCTGGACTGACCATCCTCTCAATACCTAGGGTAGGTAGGAGAAGGAAGGAGAAAGCAGGAGAGGAAGCTGGGGCAAGAAGGGTGAGCAGCTAAGCAGGAGGAAAGAAATCTACAAGGTACCATGCATGGTGTGCACCCACATCCCAGCAGTAAGCCCTGCAACCCCAAGAAAACAATGCAGGTCATCCTTGCTGGGGGCTTGCTCTGTGCCAGGTACTGTCCCAAGCTCCTTCCGTGCATGAACCCATTGAGTGCGCACTGCAACCCTATGCACGCTCTTGTTATCCCACTATGTCGATGAGAAGACTGAGGCCCAGTGCATTTCGTAACTTGCTCTAGGTCCTATTGTCAGAAAGCAGTGGAGACAGAATCTGGACTCAGGCAGTGAGGGTTTTGCACCCACACCCTCTGCCACTTGGCTGTACACACTTCTCAAGGGGGATGCCCAAGCGCCTGGTATGCTGGAGGAGGCTTCGCAAAGACCACATGCTGTTAGCAAGCTCAGGGGGTTGATTCTGGGTCCCTTCCTGGCCTCTGCCTCCTGCCTCTGCCCTCCTGGAGGCCTCAGAGTCGCCACCATGATCCCGGGGCTGGTGCATCTCAGGATCAATCCAGAGACAATTCGGTGCTCTGGTCGTTAATGAAGAAACAGAAAAGCCTTTGTAGTACAGGCTGATACTGGCTGGGGGTAGGACGAAGGAAAACACTCTCCCCACACACATACAGAGGGAGAAATAGTGCAAGGACACTCCCTGCACCAGCGAAATCAGCTTCATGGCACCTGCCAGGCCAGCCCACCCCAGGACACATTCTCCCCTTGTCACTGCTTCTCTCTGTCTTGCGTTCTATGCCCGTGCAGTGGCTCTCTGAATCGCCTGCGCTGCCTCTGCACATCCTCCTGGATGCAGCACTGGGTCCACACGCCCAGTCTGGCACCTACAGTCCTTAGCTGGGGGAAGCTGCCCTACATGCACCAGCAGGAGACCCAATCTATCACCATTTTATGGGTGAGGAAACTAAGGCTCAGAAAGGTGCAGGCTTGCCCAGGTCCCACAGGCTGGAAGGGGCAGAGCCCAGACTGCCTTGGGTTTGTGTGCCCTGGAGCTGGGAAGCTAACCACAGCGCAGCGCAGCTCTGCCTGCTTCCCCCACCCCAGCCATTCCAGTTGCAGTCAGCGTGAGGGGCCTAGCTCGGCACCCTTCCTGCTGCTCTCTCGGTGTCCCCACCCTGCTCCCCAGCCTGAATGAGGAAATGTACTGGGAGAGGGGAAAGTCAACAGTTTCAGAAACTGGTGGCTCAGGGGAATCCCAAAGGCCACTCTTGCTTGCTTCCAGAGACATGGTATCCGACATCTCTAACGACAGGGAACTCACCACCTCAATGTGTCTTAGTGGGAAGAGCATTGACTCTGGAGTCAGACAGACCTAGGCCAATAACCAAGGCCCGCTGGGACTCCCTGGGGCTCTGTTCTCCCATCTGTAACATGGGAGTAACAATCTCAACCATGAGAGATCAGGCAGGCCAGTGCCCTGCTTGAGGCTTGGCACATACCAGCAACCTCTCAGATTGCAATTCCCAAAGCAGAGGATGGGGATAATGATGCCCTCCTTGCAGGGTACCTTGGAGGTTGAAGTGTGATCACGAAGGTGTGTAGAGTGCCTGGCCCACACAGCGCCTTGAGGAGGGACCTAACCACTGTGAGGCCCTGGCCTCCTCCCTATCCACCCCTGGCCTTGTAAATGTTACCCCGGGGGAGGGGGCACCTCCAGTCCCCGGGACCCCCTGACCAGCAACTCCCATGTGGCAAGAGAAGAAGAGCAAGAAGCCTACGCAGTCATGCAGAGGGTGCACACACACACACACAGACACACACACACCCATCTCACACACATTCACACACCTGCCCACCTCACACTCTCCTCTACACACCACATACACTTGCACACACACTCACCCCCAGACACCTCAAACTCACCTACACTCACCCACACACACCTGATACACACACACATGTTCCTGATACACACACACACGTACCTGATACACACACGTACCTGATACACACACACCTGATACACACACACATACCGGATACACACACACACGTGCGTGATACACACACACACTTGCACACTCACACCCTCGTGCATTACAGATGCACTCACATACACAACGCATCCAGGGGAGAGTCAGGGGCCCGGCCCAAGGCCACATCCACACTGACTGTCCCAGCGAAGGAATCCAAGTCCGCATTCAGTGGAGTTGAAGGCTCTGCCCCTAACCAGTGGCTTGGGCTGAACTCAAGCAGTCATCTTCTCAATAACAGGTCACTTTGCCTGAATGCAGCCAGCCCTCTCTCACGTGGAACTTTATTTTGGTTTTTGGCATTTATTTCTTTTCCTCAAGCCAGGCTGTGTTCTGGTGAGGTTTAACGGGCTGCATGAAAGGCCAGCGAGACGCCCAGCCAATGGTCCATGGAACTGGGACACCTGCCACATGAATGATGCTGGGACGAGTGGCAGGGTCAGATTTGTGTCAAGAGCCTCACACAACAATCCTATGGGGGGGCTGCCCAGAGCAATGATACCCTGCGTACCACCCCCAGAAAGAAGCCCCTGACCTCCCACCACTCTGCAGTACACAGACACCCATCCTACACACACACACACACACACACACACACACACACACACACCCTTCTGCAGATCTGTGCACCCTACATCCGTAAGCACGCTCTGGAGACACACACCCCAATTAACACACGCTTACACAAAGAGACACAAACGGGCTTGCACTCAGGTGCCTACAGTGTCCCATACTTTATAGATGCATGTTGCACACATAGACATCATCAAGTGCTCGGGCACACCTACACACACATAGATACCTGCGTCTGTCTGCACACAAAATCATTAACTCCTGTCTGATGGACACACACTAATACACAGTCAGGTACATAAATGCCCAGCCAACACCAGCATTTTATGATACTTGCTCAGCCCTGCACCCTGCCCCCTGGGGCTCATAAAAGCCTGTTTACAGGTGGCTGGAGGGGTAAACAACCCCAGAATTGGGTGCAGCCTGCTGGGCTGAGCCAGGAAGCAAAGACCCAGAGAGAGGAAGGAACTTAGGCTGGTCAGTGGAACCATAACTCAGGCGCCCAAGGTCATGGGAGACAGGCCAGGAGCGGGAGAGAAGGAGGAGCCCCCTGGAGTCTTTACTCACCACTGCTGGCAAGGATGGCCACAGCGAAGAACTTCTTCATACCCAGGCTAGACCTGAGGGAGGACAAAACCCGGAGCTTGAGTCCATCCCCTTCACCCCTGGCAGTGCTGGACCTGCTGCTCCCTTCCTGAGCCTCATGACAGGTGTCATCAATGATGTCCCTGGATGTCCTAGTTGCTGCTCCTAGTGCTGTCATCAGCACCTGCCCAGCCCCTCCTGGAGGAGCACACCCCAGATGGCAGAGCCGGGAGGCACGAGCACCTCCTTGCCCCCCACTCTGGCAGGAACCCCCTCTACACATCAGCCTCCAGGACAGGAAGCCCACTGTCTCAGGCCGGACCTCCCATGCACACACTAGGGAGTTCTGGATGGAAGTCATGTGACCCAGCCTAGCAGCTGGGTCTTGAACCCAAAGCCAGGAGTCTTAGGTCCCTGGATTCTGGTCCCAGCACCGCTTCCAAAATGTGTGGCCTCAGCCTCCCTGGGCCACATGAGGGTTGTGGCCTCACTCTCCCTGGGCCACATGAATGCCACGTAAGGGTTGACTAAATGATCCCCATTTAGTGCTGGAAAAGTAGTGACCATCTCAGCCCGCCACGCAGACTCTCAGGAGAAAGGAATTCTAGGAACCAGTGCCTCACCCCTGTCCCTGCCTCTCCCTGGGGGATTCCATCTCAGGGTAGCAGGCACCTACCTGGGGGTTCTTGAAGGACAGGAGGCTCGGAAGCGTGGGTCCCTCCACCCAGAGGAGCATCTATCCAGCACCTTCTTTTTGAACGCTTTGGGGTTGGCCTGCGCCCCATCTGCCATGTTCCGGGTTCTGGGGGGCCAGCAACATAGGTCTTGAAAGGTCTGAGATACGCTCCAGAGGCTGCGGGGAGCAGGCTCCAGCTTCAGGCTGCCTCGCACACTGGCAGGGGAGTGCCGGGGCAATGCCCCTGGGCAGGAGGCAGGTGACACATGCCCTAGAAAAAGGAGGCTCCAACTCCTCCTCCCACCCCCACAGCCCTGCCCACAGCCAGTTGGTACAGTCCCCACCCCTGGGTGCTCTGGCCTGCCTGACTTGGGGGTTTACATACCAGATAGGAGAATCGGCCTTCCCCATGCATCCAAAAGGAAATTAGCCCAAAGGCCTCTCTTTCCCCATCTGAAAGATGTTAAAGATAAAACATCACTCAGTGACACTTGCTGAAGCATGAAGCACAGTAAGGCAGGCTTTGTTCAAAGGGGCCATAGGGACAGGTGTTGGGCCATGGCAGTGGGTTCCGCAGTGGGGAAGAGAGACTGGACTCAACAGCAGATACAATAAGAAAAAGCGGGAATTCATAGCCAAGGAGCAGGGTGGGGTCTGAGGATGAAAAGTTAACCAGAAGAAACATCAGGGGTCGTGGGGGGTTGGGAGACTCTGGCTAAACCGATCCACCAGGATTGCTGCTGAAGGCAGGTGGGTTGCTCAGACTTCACCTGGGGGCCATGGAGGATGAGAAACCCAATCAGATATGGAGGACAACATTGGGGATTCTACCTAAACAAACTTAGCAGGGTTGTGACATTGCCAAATTTGCCCTCGTAGGGGGCACAATTATCTGATGGAGAGCCTGCAGGGCCTGGGCCTTGTCAGCACCATTTGCCTTTTTTGAAGGGGGGTGGTATGTATGAGAAAGATGGGGCTGGAGAGAATCCAAGGGGATGTGAGCTCTGGGAGCCCCTCTCAGGGCTGGGTCACCTGGGCTGAGCCTGGGGGTTTGAGCAGTCGTACTGATAAAAGATCCCATGCCAGCACCCCTACTTCCCTGCTATGAGGCCTTGGTAGGAGAACTCCCTTCCCTGGTCTCTGAGTTCTCAGCTGTAAGTGCACATAACAAGGCCTCACCGAATAAGGATGATGTTCATACAAGTTGGGTGTCATGTGGTGGGTGGGGGCAGGTGTAGGTGCCCAGTTAAAGATCTGATTGTTACAAAGTAGAGGCCTAGGCACAGCGTAGTCACTCACACCTGCAATCCCAGCACTTGGGAGGCCAACACGGAAGGTTTGCTTGAGGCCAGGAGTTTGAGACCGGCCTGGAAAACATAGTGAGACCCCATGTCTACAAAAAGCAGCAAAGTAGGGGCTGACCTCCAGCCTTGGGGAGAATTGAGATACTGGGAGGAGATAGCAAGGGAGGCAGAAGAAGAGGACTCTTGGAAGTTGACACTGCAAATAATCCCCTCACCTTCAAGTTGCCCCATCTCTCTCAGTGTCCTCGAACCTGCCAACAGGGGCAGAAGAGACCCCTGGGGCTTCCCTTCCTGCCCCTAGCTTTGCCAGCCTCCTCTTCTGGCTATACCAAACCACAGTCCACATGTCATCCCCCTCGCCCAGCCCCCACCTTCCTCTGCCCAGCTTCGTCTCTGTGGATCCGGGTCCGTCTCCTCTCCAGGAAGTTTTCCCGGAAAAAACCCACTGCATCCAATCACAGGTCCTTGCATGGGAGGGTGTTTATTTGCATTTGGTGATGCATTCCAAAACATATACAGGTGTTGCTAACTGTATATGTTTTACGTTTTGGTTTATGAATCTTGACACTTCCTTCAGACTGGGGATCCTGGAAGGAAGGGACCTTTGTTTTTTCCAAAAGCCTAGGGCTTCCCCCTTGGGACAAGGCTGCATCTGCTTCATCAGACTGGGAGTGATTGGAGAACAAGACTAGTGTTTGCCTTCACTTGTCTGCACAAAGTTTGGCTTCTATCTTTGCCCCTAGTTTCACAAACACCACTTAATGATGTCACCACATTCCAAAGAAGGAAAAATCGAGAAATAAGGCCCAGTATGTCCAAATCCTGAAGATACAGCCTCCAACCTGCAGATATCTAGAGCCACTCCGACATAGGTCGAGGAGGCCAAGGGACCCCTGAGAGCCTCTCAGCAGCATCACTGCTACTTTCTCAACTGGAATTCCCACTGGACATGCTGGTTGGGCTGGTCTTCAGAGAGGCTTGATCCTTGAGGAAGAGGACGAGCTCTTCCCTTTCCTTCTACCCTCCCCCTACCAAGCTCAGGGTGCTCAATAGCGAGTCAATAATAAACTGGTTGATCCAGTAATTCCACTTCTGGGACTGCAAACCAAATGCCAACTTAAGTTGCTCCTAGAGACAGAAGAGGGACACTGAAGGGGTGTTTTCTTGATGCTCCCCCCACCCCATTAGAAGCAACTTAAATTAGGGGTTCGTTAAGCAAATTATTAGTCATCCATCCATAATCATGTTTTCAAATAATATTTATGATACAAAAAAAACACCCTGTACTACAAGGTAATAGCATTTTTAAAAAGGAGTTGGTGTACACAGGTATAAAAATTTTCTAGAAGGATGCAATGTAAAAGCGTTAGTAATGGACATCTTGAGACAGTGGAATAACTGGTGGTTTTTATTTTTTTATTTGTAATTTTTGGTATTAAAATGAGTGTAAGAATACATTCAACAACTACAATAAAATGGTCAATTTCCTCAAAAGACACAAAGTCACTCAAGTGGAAATAGCTCTGTATCTATGAAAGCCAGTGAATGCATAGTTTAAAACCTTCCCACAAACAAACTCCAGGTCCAGATGGCTTCACTGGTGAACTTGACCAAATACTTAAGCAAGAAGAAACACCAATTGTATTAGTTTGCTAGGGCTACCATGACAAAATACCACAAATGGAGGGACTTCAATAACAGAAATTTATTCTCTGCCAGTTCTGGAGTCTGGAAGTCCAAGATCAAGATGCTGGCAGGGCTGATTTCATTCTGAGGCCCCTCTCTGTGGCTTGAAGATGCCACCTTCGTCCTGTGGCCTCAAGTGGCCTTTCCTCTGCACATGCACATCCCTCGTGTCTCTTTGTGTGTCTAAATTTACTTATCTTATAAGGACACAAGTCATGCTGGATTAGGGCCCACCCTTGATTCCACTTAATCACGTCTTTAAAGGCACTATCTCCAAATACAACCATATTCTGAGGTACCAGGGTTACAGCTTCAAATTACACATGGGGGCGGGGGGGAACAGTTGAGCCCATAACACCAATTATACACAAATTCTTCCAGAAAATTTAGATAAAGAAAGTGCTTCCCAATTCATTCTACTAAGCCAACATTATTCTAATACCGAAACCAGATAAGGACATTACAAGAAATGAAAACTACAAGACTACGATTCCTCATCAACATAGATAAAAAAAATTCTTAACAAAATATTGGCAAACAGGCAAATGCTGGTAAACAAGAAAATATACCATGACCTAGTGGGGTTTATCCCAGGAATGAAAGATTAGTTTGCATTAAAAGTCAGTCAATGTAAATATACCATACTAACAGACTAAAGAAGGAAAGCCATATGGTCATCTCAACAAATTCAAGAAAACAAAACAAATGCCATTTGACAAAATCCAGCATCCATTCCTGATTTTAAAAACTGTCCACAAACAGACAGAATGGAACTTCCCCAACTTGAGAAAGGACATCTACGGCCGGGTGCAGTGGCTCATGCCTGTAATCCCAGCACTTTCAGAGGCCAAGGCTGGCGGATCACCTTAGGTCAGGAGTTCAAGACCAGCCTGTCCAACGTGGTCTGCTCTCTACTAAAAATACAAAAATCAGCTGGGTGTGGTGGCACAGGCCTGTAATCCCAGCTTCTCAGGAGACTGAGGCAGGGAAATTGTTTGAACCTGGGAGGCGGAGGTTGAAGTGAGCCGAGGTTGTGCCACTACACTCCAGCCTGGGCGACATCTCAAAAAAAAAAAAAAAAAAAAAAGGATAAAGGGCATCTACAAGAAACCTATGGCTAACACCAGGTTGAATGGTACAAAACTGAATGCTTTTCTCCCAAAGATTAGGAAGAATGCCCACTCTCATCACTTCTATTCTATATTGTACTGGTGATTTCAGTTAGTGCAACAGCCAAGAAAAGAAATGAAAGGCCTTCAGATTGGAAAGGAAGAAGAGAGTTGGTGTCTATTGGCATCAACATAATAGTCCATATAAAAAATCCTGTAGAAGCTACAAAAAAGCTACTGGAACTAACAACTAAATTTAGCAAGGTTGCAGAATATAAGATGAAAATATGAAATAGTTGTAATAATTGTACTTCTACATACTAGCAATGAGTAATTGGACACTGAAATTTTTTTAAAATACATTTACAATAATATCCAATAATATGAAATATTTAGGGATAAAATTGACCAAAAAATGGATACTTGTGCATTAAAAACTATAAAACGATGCTCAGAGAAATCAAGGAAAACCAAAGTAAATCAAGGGATACGTCATGCTTATGAATCAGAAGGCCCAATAATGTTACAATGTCAATTCTTATTTGCTCTATAGTCAGTGCATTCTCAATCAAAATCCTAACAGACTTTTCTTATAGAAATTGACAAACTGATCCCAAAATTCATATGGAAATTCAAGGGGTCTAGAATAGCCAAATCAACTATAAAAAGATTAATAGTATTGTAGGACTTATACTACCTGATTTTAAGACTTATAAAGTGGGCCAGGTGCGGCAACTCACACCTGTAATCCCAGCACTTTGGGAGGCCAAGGTGGGAGAATTGCTTGAGCCCAGGAGTTCAAGACCAGCCTGGACAACATAGCAAGACCCTGTCTTCACAAACAAACAAAATAAATTAGCATGGCTTGGTGGCACACACTTGTAATCCCAGCTACCCGGCGGGCTGAGGCAGGAGAATTGCTTGAGTCTGGGAGGTCAAGGCTGCAGTGAGCTATGATTGTGCCTTGCATTCCAACCTGCGTGACAGAGGGAGACTTTGCCTTAAAAAAAAGTTACTGTAATTGAGATAATATGATATTGATATAAAGATAAATAGATCAGTGGAACAGAATAGATGATTGAGAATCAGACTTACACATATGGAAAATTTATTTTTGACAAGGATGCAAAGGGAAGTTCGTGGAGAAATAACAAAATTTTCAACCATGTTGCTAGGCCAACTGACTATCAACAGAAAGAGAGAGAAATAGAAAGAAAGGGAGAGAAGGGGGGGAGAGAAAGAAAAAAGAGAGAGAAAGAGGGAGAAAGAAAGAAACGGAGGGAGAGAAAGAAGAAAGAGGATGAGAAGGAAAGAGGGAAACAGAACAGGGATCAGGGGAGGAAGGAAGGGAGAGA